GACAGCAGGTGCATGTGTTCAGGCACCCAGAGCAGCTGGGAGAGAGGTAAGTCACCGTAGGGCAAGGGGGAGTCTGGGGATGCCCTGGCCACCCAGGGACATTAGTCCTGTTTGGGGGGGATGGGAGGGAGGAGGAAAAATCAAACTGAAAGCAGCCCTTTAAGCTTTCTTTAGCAGTGTGCTCATGCACAGAGAAGAGGATTGGATGACCAAACGTCAATCACGCTCTCTGTCGGAAAATTTAAAAACAAAAAAAGAGGGAGCCCCACCCCTGGGAAAGCCCCAAAACAAGCAGCAAGCGAAGTATAGACACAATAGCCTAATAGAACAAATACCCCAAGAAAGAAGCCAAAATCTGCTCGCTGTGAGCGGGCTTGGCAACTGGAGGTGGGGCTCGGGGGAGGGGGGTCCAGCTTTGTGGGACCTGGGCAGATGGGGAGCAGCTTCCTATACAGGGACCCCTCCCCCCACTTACTGGCCCCATGGCTCCTCAGCCACGGGGAGAGGGGTCACTATAGGGGGAGCTCCTCTTTCTGTCTGCCCAACACCCTGTGTATCTGGACCCCCTGCCAAGCCTTACCCACGCTGCACCTGGAAACCCCTCCTGCATCAGGAGCCCACCCACTCCTCCAGAGCCTCACCCCCTGCAGTGGGAGCTCCACACAGCTAGACCCCCCACCCCACTGATCTCAACCAGCTGCATCCTGACCCCCACACTCCCCCAGCACCCAGGTTCCCCTCTCCTGCTGAGCCCTAACCACCCAAAGAGTGCTATTCCTGCACCCAGGTGCAGGAAGCTCTGCACCGTGGGGGGGGGCGAGGTGTCTGGGTGCAGGGGATGAGGCTCAGTGCTTTGGGAGTTCCAGGTGCTTGGGGGGGGGTGAAGCTTGGGGGGAGTGTTTGAGTGCAGGGGGGTCCAGACATAGCTGCTGACTTTGATCTGCCCTTGATCTGCCTCTTTCTGCCCCACTCCATCCCATCCCCAAGGCCCCCACCCACCCAGCTCTCACTGCACTCCCTGAGCCACCAATCAGTGGTGTAGTGGCGCTGCCAATCTGAGCACCCATTGTAACTTTTCTGTGGGTGCGCCACAGAATCAGTGCCTATGCATCTGGATACACAAGTGTTGGGAGGACATGGGGAGCAGCTCCCTGGACAGTGACCTTCTCCCACTTCCTGCCCCCATTGCTCCTCAGCCACAGGGAAAGGGGTCACTGTATGGGAAGCTGCTCCCTGTCCACCCAATTCCTGTGCACCTGGACGCCTTCCCCCACCGAACCTCACCCTCCCTGCTCCCAGAAACCCCCCACCAAGCTGAGCTTCATCCCCTCCATCAGGAGCCCTCCACCAAACCCCCGATACCCAAATCCACACACCCCTGAGCTTCAGCCCCTGCATCAGCAGCCCCCCCACCCCACTGGCCCAGAAAGCTGCACCCTGACCACAACCCCACCAAGTCCCACTTTCCTATCATCCAGTCCCCGCTGAGCCCCCCACATTCCCCCACTGAGCTCTGACCACCTTCACCTGGACTCGCCTGCAGAGTCCCATTCCCCCTGCACTCAGAACCCCCCAATGAGCCCCTGTGCATTCAGATCCCCACCAGGCCTCCCACCCAGCTGTCCGCACCCAGATTGTACCCCACAGAACACTGGTGTTCTTGAGAGAATTCTGCACCAAAAATAAAAAATTCTGTGCCTACAAATGTTAAAATTCTGCATATTTTATTTGTGAAAATAACACAGTAACAGTATAATCACACCAATACTTGCTGACAAGTATTTTGAAATAAATTATCAAAACAATTGAAAATGGTGTGATTATATTGTATTATTTTCACAAATAAAATATGCAGAGTTTTGCAGAATTTTTAATTTTTTGGCCCAGAATTCCCTCAGGAGTATTTTACAAACCTTTGGTCTCTTACTACAGAGGGGTGG